GTGTGGGTGTGGGTGTGGGTGGAGGGCAGCAGCAGCTAAGGTAAATACAAAAATATAGGGTATATAATACTAGAAACGCAAATGTACAAAAGTATGAAGGAAAGTCGAAAATCTAATTACAGGATATAAATACTACAAAAGAAAATATGAAAAGTTGATGAAGTAGAAATCAATTTTTTGCTTTTCTTTTCTTTTTTCATTTATTATTTTTGCATGTGTCGATGCCTTGGTGGTTGGGTGGTTGGTTGGGTGGGTTTTCTTTTGGAGGGTGTTAACAAATTAGGTTGACTCATGCGTAAATGTGCAAATGTATTTTTCAAGCTTTTTCTCGGGTTTGTTTTTTTGTTTTTTTTCTTTTTTTTTTTTTTTTTGGCTTTGCATTTGACCTTTTTTTGGTCGCTTTAATTTGCGTTGAGTTTGTTGCTGAACGTGTTGAATTATTTCGATTTGGTTTATAGCATTTGTATTTTTGCTGCTGCTTTTTTCTGTTTTAATTAACATACTTACATTGACAATTACTAATAAAATAAAAACAAAAACTCTCTAGTAACAAAACTTTTTAGGTGCGGACACATGAAAATGAAAAAGATGTGAATGAAAAATATTTACGTTTAGGTTTCGTTTTTAATTATTATTTTTTTTTTTTTTTTCTAAATGAAGTCAAGTGTGAATGAGCAAGCAATTAGTTGAAATTGAAACAATGAACGAAACGAGACGAGACGAGAGACGAGACGAATGAGAGAGAGAGAGAGAGAGAGCGAGTGAGGTGTTGTTGAGATTCGAGAACTAAAGCAAACAATTGCCTACAATTACATAACATAAAAAGTTTTGCGTGTATGTGTGAGTGACAGACAAATTGAAATGCAAAATTTCATTGAGTTTAAGTTTTATTTTAAGTATTAATTTTTTTTTTTAGTTTTTATTTAATATTTGCACTCGCATTTGGTGCTAACTCTTGCAAGGCACATACAAAAACAGTTAGTTAGTTAGTTAATTGGTTAGTTAATTAGAGATAGAGAGAGAGATTTAGAGATTTAGTAGACAGAGAGCGAGAGATAGAGAAACATAGTGAGACAGAGCATAAAATAACGGTTTGGCAACAACACTAGATCAGGCTTAAAAATTTTGATTTATGCGCTGAAAGTGCAACGAGATGCAAATTCCAAAAAAGATTCGTTCAAACATTCATTGCATAGAACTGTGGCACAATTCATGTTTTTATTTTAATTTTTTTTGTGGTTTGTTTTTCTTTGTATATTATTATTATTTGCTTTTGATTTGGTTTTGGTTTTGTTACAGTTTACTTTTTTTTTTGTTTTTGTTAGTTTTTGCGTTAAACGAAAAATACATTGGCACTTACAAGAGGTCGTCCCCAATACCATGATTTGACACGTTGTGTTAAACCACCCAAATGTGAACGTAGTCCATCTAAGTAGCCGCCCTGAAATGCACACAAATGAACAAACGAGAACAATTTCGGGGGGAGAACGGGTACAGGTTGAGAAAGATAAAGAGTTGAGTGAGATACAGAAAGAGAGACAGAGAGAGAGTGTGTCAAACAGAGAAAGAGAGAGAGCACACAACTCAAATAGAAACACAAAAATTAAACATTGAACAAACAAAAATTCATTGGAGTCGAAACAAAAGGAAAATCAAATGAATTTGTAATACACAAACGAACACAAATGTATGTATGTATGCATGTATATGTAAGGTGCAGAAAAATATAAAAGAAAACACACATAAATAAATGAGAATTGTGATTAAAAAGGAAACGTAACTGAAATTGAATGGGGTTCTGGGGTAACTGTCTTATGTGATATGTTTTTCATTGGAAGGGGAGGAATTGTAGCGCCTGCAACTGCGCTCTGTTATACAGTCTAAATAGAAATATATATATATATGTGATTTTATAATAATTTTTAGCTACGTTTTTATACACTCTTTAGCTAGTTAAATACATGTGTTTAATCGGGGATTTACGTGTGTTTT